AAGATGATGCCTGCCTGTCCCATTGCCTTCATGACGTGTTCAGTGGTGTCTGGGTCTAGGACATGCTCAGCCGGGGGTGTAGTCGGTAAAGCTTCTTCTTTCAATTGCTTTGCATATGCTTCCGACTGATTGCCCAGCTGCTTATGCTCCTTGTCAATTGCTTCCTGAACAATCTTCAACTCGTCCAGTAGCATCTTGTAGCTTTCCTTAGCTTGATCCACCCGCTTCTGCAGTGATTGCTTCTTGGTCGTGAGCTGCCTCAGTTCACCCACAGTTGCCTTCAGCTGGCCAGTGACATCTACACTGGCTGCAGGAGCAGGTTTCAATAACCCTTCCACCACTTCTTTGACTTCTTTGGGCAGGCTCTCCAAGTGCGCCTTGAGCAGCTCTTCCAGAGGCTGGGGCTCAGGCTCTGGGGTGAAGTCCAGGCCCATGCCCTTGTGCGCTTGTTGGCATTCTGTCGGAAGTGACGACCAAGCCTGCCTCAGCGTCTGTTCAACCTCACTCTTCTGCTGCTTTGTCTTTCCCCCGAGTCCCAGGGGTGGTGCAACTTGGTGACGTGGTCTTCCTCGAAGGTTAGCTTTCTTCTTGGGTGACCAATCTGTCCTCCAGTTGCCATTGCTCTGTGGCCAAGCTGCCCCACACTTGGTGCATCCCCACCTGGTCGACGAGATCCTGTCATTCCAGATCCATGAGTTTGTGCACCCTTTGCAAACATGGTAGGCCCTTGCCTTGCGTCTCGGGTATTCCCATCCATCCATCATCTTCACTTCGTGAAGAACTCGACAACCTCCAAAATCAATGGCAAGGCCTCCCTTGATATAGGTCCCGTCAAAGACACCAGCAAAGATGTGGTGCCAGTGCCCTCGTCGGACTCAACGACCAGCGGGCTTGAGCCACCTTGAGCCAGGCTTGAGCCAAATCTTGAGCCACATCTCGCTCCCTCTCTCTCTCTCGATCGCCTTCAGACTGCAAATTCCAGTTATTCTGAGAACCCTTGCTTTGCCCAACAAGAAGTCATGACCTCAATGAGGTCCGCTGGTGTTCGGTCATCTCTGGTGACAGCCAAGGAAGCGTGGGGCCTGGGAAGCAACTTTGGCCGCCTCTGTGCTCATGCTCAGAAAGCGCTCTTGATGGGTGTGCGACACGGTCCGTGCGTGTGTGGGTGTGGGTGTGTGTTTTGCTCCATGCTCATCTATATACAACGAGTCAGGTCGCTTTGAAAATCGTGCCTTCAGGAACTTCAGGCTGCGATTCATCATCCACGTCGACCTCAATGTCCTTCAATTGGGTGGGTAAGGTTCATCAACGAAAGACCCCTTTCCCTCCCCAGCTGTGTCCTCGTCATTTTCGACCTCTTCCTCCCCCTGGCACTCAAATCAACCACAAGTTTTAGTTCCACCATGTTCCACCTTTCAATTCTTTCTATTCAAGACTAAGAACCGCACAACCCTTCTTCAAACAATTTGCCTCCTCCATGTAGTCGTGGTTAAGGAAAGCAGTGCCTGGATTGATCTCTTCCTGGACATCCCGACCACTGAATCATGACTGTGAGGAAGACCATCGGAGAACCAATGAGAATCACGCCTTGCAATCTAGATGGTATCTACTTCGCACTACCTCTCCTCTCGCTGCTGAAGGTGACCCACTTCCAGAACCAGCCGATCATAAAGATCCTCCTTATTGCAGACGCCACCAGACTGAGTCAGTAACATTCAGTAACTACAGGACAAGTGCGCAAACGAATCAGTCAAGAACTAATTATCTAGCTCAGGGCTGTGATGCAAATCAAACATGAGCCGAGAGCACTGCTGTGCCCTGGTTCTGCTTAGCCGACATGAGGACCTAAGAGGGATGGATTAAGAAACAGGGCCGAACACTACTGTAATTCAATGTGGCAACTGCAACAACACAACAGGCAAAACTAGAGCCGGCTCCTCAGCTCCTCGCCGGATCTCCCACACCCAGCTCGTAGCAATCATTCAAGTATGGCCCGATAAACCCATGCTCAGCTTTGTTTGCAATCAGGATGATCCTCAGCATTATGATGCACATGTACCACCCTCGAGCGGTCAAAGCACCAAGGAGTCACTAAGGGTTAGGCGGCACTTCTCTGGGAGTGTTGGTTTTGAACAGGTCGCGGTACTTGTCTGCCTCAGCAGAAGCGGGAACTTTGTTGCGATAAGCAGCTGCCCTCCATTCCTTGCTTTCCTCAGCGTGCTGCATTCACAGCACCTTCCCGCAGCATCTTCCCAATATGCTCATCAGCGGGCGTCACCTGGCAGCCGCACTCTGACAGTTGGCCAAAAGCAAGCGTTAGATTATATATATAGATTTTTGAGTACATTTTCTGGAGTTAGCTCTGCCCCAAAAAAATGTGCATGGCGTACGCCCTCCTGAGCATCAATCACAAAGAGAATGGCTTGCGCCTTCAGCACAAAAGAGAAACAAAATTGTTGGTTTTTGCTAAAATATTAAAATCGCCGGGTTACGTCTGACTATTTGAGGGCATCTTATGCATACTTCACAGCGCCTCCGCCACAGCTTTCCAGACATGTTCCTGCATCGACTGCCTCGGACCAACTCCCGGCGGCCGTATTATCTTTCAATAAGCATCAAACAGAAATATCCAAACCATAAACTTAAACAGAAAGAACATGCCCCGACACTTCCTTTTGAAACTAGACAAAACTTGTCACTACCCCTTACAATATCTCACCACCGAACGTTATGACCCTTCTACACCATTTTATGCTATTACTGGCTACGTACATATTTTTCCACAAAAAACAACTACTTTAGATATCATTAGTATACGAGATTGCTTTCGCTTTGCAAAACCAAATGACACATCTCCATTACATGCTTGGCGGCAACAAGGAGCTGTTCGACGTCTCTTTGGGCGTCTCCAAGCCCCCCGTATCAATGACCCGAAGCAACAACCTTGGGTTCTTGCCGAGCAACACAGCTACGACGTTGTTTTCTAAGAAGGCAACAGGACCCAGCCCAGCTGACAGCATTTTTCTATTAAGATTGTGACCTGTTTGAACTGAAACTAAATATTTCACTTTACACTCTAAATTTTCAACCGGTGAGTGGCACTTAGTGACTTAGTAAACTTCTTGCTGGATGAGGTTGCAGGATGTGCGTCTGTGATCGTGTGTGATGGTACAGAAACCGGCGCCGAGTCCCAAGCCCGCCAAACACTGCGAGCGCATCTTTGCGGTCGCGTGTGGTTCCTGCGCTGGGAAGCGGGCGCTCGTAGGTTCGTACCCACAAACCGAATACAGTTGGACAAATTCAAGAAACTGGTTTGAACAAACACGCTGCATTGTGACATGTCATTGTGCGTGTAACCCATGGAGTGACAAGAGCCTTTTGGGTTGCTTCGTTACAATTCCAGCTTGATGCTCTCAGCAGCGGGGTTCGGCATGATTGTGGGACCGCACTCAACGAAAAGCTACTACGATCATGGTACACCGAGTCTGATCAACTCGGCGCGCCTGTGTTTTACCATCCCAGTGTCAGTTTCCACCGGGGGGTCCGCACCGCCAAATTACAGATGTAAAGCGGCGTTCCCAACCCCCACAGGTCCTGTAATTTGAAGGTCCCAACGTTCATGCAAAAATCCTAATTTGACTATCCCTGACGTCAAATCGATGTCCATTTCGACCACTTTTTGCTGATCACTCTGCTCATAAAAGCATACCCGTGTAGGATTCGCACAGGGGGTCCTAAGCACAGCTTTATAGATATAAGCTGGCAGACCTGACCTTCAGGTTCTATAAATTGAGCTGGGCTAACGTAAAGCTGGACAACATATAGTGAACCTACCTGACATCAGGTGCACAACATCTTGACACATTCTTTGTGCCTTATGTCAAAGAACAAAGACAATTTGAGATTGCCATGGACTTGATGAATGCAATGTATGTTGAGCGAACAGGCTCATAGTGATGCTTTAACATATCTGAAAACGTGAGCGCGGAATCATGTCGTACTTCAGCACAAAACTGCTGATGTTTATTTCAGCTTGGTGTAATACATCTGTGTCCTCTGTACAATACGGACCTGACCCGCTCAAAAGGAAGGGCCTAAAATGTTTTATGACCTACCATGAACCCCCTCATTGCATAGATGAAACCTACACCGGTATATGAAAGCTATATCTTTTGCTTATCATTCCAACTTCTCATTATGCATCATTTGTAGAAATCTGTTTCATGAGGTATCGAAAGAGGCAACGGTAAGCATATGGTTTTCTCTGTAAAATGACCCCCTGACCCCCTTGAGGAGGGGGCCCTAAAACGTTTTAGGATGATGGTGGACCCCCTCCATTTTACAGAGCAAATGGACAGGAGGATGTTTTACCTCTCACTTCCCACTGGGCCCTGCTGGCAACTACAAAAAGATCGCTTCCCTGCACCGGCTTGCAACGAACGAAGTGCTAATGAGACTTGCATCCATCTCTCTCTCTCTCTCTCTTTCGGCAGCGTCTGGCTACAACGCAGCCGTCCCACAGGGCCTCCATGTTTGGTCGAATTCTCAGCCTGTGATCAACAACAACAACAACAACAACATACATACAAATAGGTAGCCCAATCAAGCTTTCCCCCAAGGGCTCACCTCATCTGGCACAAGTTCATGCCATTCAATAGTGTGCCCGCTTCACAGCGGAAGCCAGGTTTCCATGAGGACCCTGCTTCCGAGGGTTGGCCCGATAAGCCCGGTTGGGCATATGAGACCCACAATCCCAAGATGAAGGGCAACCTATGGGCTGCCTATAGAAACCTCTAGAAACAACCTATAGGTTGCCTGCCAACTTACTTGCAGTAGGTCTTGTGCAATCAAAACAGTGTGAACGCTGAGTAAAACAAGCCCATTGAATATATAATATAACCATGCGTTTAGAAAACATATTCCAGCACACTCTATCCTGCAAGTATACGCTATGGTGTTTCGACTTCCTGGTTTGCTCATCACCTTCTATCTGCTATTTGAACAAAAATACGTCTCGACTTCAACAACTGGCAGTAGGCCTTGAAACGTTGACTCCATTCTTCCCATGGTGTGTAGTCACTATAGTCCCCATTGTATGTTGGTGGTGCTATCTGTCTTCCGATGTCTGCATCGGCTGCAATTATCCGACGTAGGCGCTGCACCGTTTGCTGTTGCAGTGGGTGCTGAGGCTGTTGCCATGTTCTGTAGTCTGTCGATGCTTGCTCTGCTTGTAGTAGTGAGTGCGCAGTGGCTAATACGTAGCTGGAGCCGAAGCTCCGCGACCATGTTAAAATTGACGACTTACTTGTTTAGCCAGAGTTTGCAGTTGGGGCTTGTAGACAGGCCGAAAGGCTCAATCAAGGATCAGTATATCATGTGTAGAGATACCTCCTCTACAGCCTTCCTAACATCTCACTCTCTGCAGAGTGCAGCTGTCACATGTGTAGAAGACCTTGAACTCTCTAGCGCGAGGGAGAGCTCAATCAGAAGGCTCCACAAATCTCTGTTCCTTTCTGATTGCGTGTGCTTGAAGGAAATGCACTGAAAAAAACAGTATATATGTATAAACAATACATAACACACATCTTTAAAGACTACCGCATCCGGCTCCAATATGACAAAGTCGTCAAGCCCGTCTTGATCTCCTGCCCGGTCGCTAATGATAGCTCGGTTGTCGACGGGATTTTTCTTCTTCTGCTTGCGGGTGCCTCAGCTAACCACAACTGTCAAGATCTGCTGCAATGATTCTGGGACACTTGTTGCATTTGTGCAGTATGTATATGGTTTGATTAGATTGTGGTTGTATAATTACATCACATCCAAGATTTACATGCATTGTGTCATTGCAATCGGCAAAATCAGATTTTTATGTCTGAGGGCCCTCACCGGTCTGCAAGCGGTTGAAGAGTGTGGACTTCCCGACGTTGGGCCTCCCAATGATAGCAATAGGAATGGGCTCCAAGTCCTTGCCAGACACACCGTCCCAGGCGAACTCTGTGTACTGGGATGCTACATGCGCCGTGGAAGTGCAGCTATGCACGCACTCGCGCACACACAGCGCGCATAGTGGAAGAATATGTTATTACGCGTGTCTGTGCACCGTGCATTTGCATCATCAATGGTACGGTGTGCGAATCTGTTCCTGCTATGGTCCGGCTCCATTTGATGGATGGGAATGGCTAGTGGAGCTCTGTCTCGCACTGCATTTTGACATGAAATGAGGCCACTCCGGGTATTATGCATGGCTGACTATGACAGGCAATGAAATGTAATATGTAGAGATATGTACAGGCATGACGAGAGAGTGCTTTCTTTTGGCAGACCCGGCAAAACTCTGATTGCAAAGTCCTACTGTAGCCGTTCGTTTGTTCCAGGTCCTCTGGAATTTCACGCTGAAAACGATGCGCCGGTATTCGCATAGCAAAAGATCGAATCAGTGGGAGTTGCCTGCCAGCTAAAGGTAAACTGTATCCTCTGTGCATCGCTGCATCTATATCCTAAATCAGGTGTGTAAAGGCGTCCTTCAACTTTGCCAGCTCTTGCCACTTTTATTTGAAGCCACCCTGCATCCCTGAGTGAACGCTGATCTGTGTTGGCTGCATCCTCAACATGAAGCTCGTGCATCCTACTCAAATTCTGACAGCACTACGAGGAGTCTTGACGTAGATACCGCGGAGCGGCATGCGCGAGCTGTCATGTGCGAGGAAAACATGGCGCCAACCACGCTAGCCACTGAGCACTACGCCTCATTGGGAAAACAAGACCTAGCTGGCCGGCAGCTTCAAGCCGCCGACAACTCGGTTGCAGAAACCATATCCGCCAATTGAGCACTCCTGCTCAGAAGGTGGCGCAAATCCAGTGAAAATAAGTTGGCTTGCGTTCAACTTACATGTAAGCTACATCGGTTCTATATATATATATATGTGGTTATAGTTATATATATATATATGCATATAATCTGAGAAGGGAGGGGGCGAAAGCCAGCCTCTGGCTTAGGGGGTGCCCTCAGGGCAGGCCCAGGCAAAGACTTGGCGTGCAAGAGGAAGTGATGGTGTAACATCAATCGGGCAAAGGTTAATTTCATGGGATAAAGTTGACATCACAGCCACACTGATAGGGGATAGAAATTGAAAGTAGCAGACATAGGTTTGGGGGGGTGCCCTTTTTCGTCCCGGTTCAGAGGCGATTTGGGGGTGAAAAAGGGCACCCATAAGGAAGTGAGGCGCGCTTGCCGGCGGTGTGTTGCGAATCAGTGAGCAAACACGGCGGTGGCAGTTGCACAGTGGCCCGACGAAGCACGAGTCGGAATGAAATCCGTATATAGTTGACGTAACAAATTCAGCCTGCGAGTGAGAGAACGTTCGTGCATCCGCCCTAATCGTGAAACTTGTCACCTGCCTTTGCCAGGACAGGAGCCACTTGATCTTTGGTTCAAAGATGCCTCAAGCCATAGGCTGTGATTGATCATTGATATGCTCAATTGGTCACGCCCCTGGCTTTGGGCTGTAAACGCCCGCAATCTCTTCTCTCTCCTGCCTTCAACAACCCCCCATTCCACGTCAACTCCCACCCATGGGGAGTCTGAGTGCCCCCTTCAGTTCGGTTCTCTCGCAGGCCCTGAACAGATGGCATCATGCACCCCATGTGGGGTGCCCTCTTTAATCTTTTTTGACCTTGCTACGAAACAAAAGGGCACCTCTAAGCCATTCAGAACCTTCTGTCTCCAACGCTTGCCCGCTGCAATCCCTTCTCTCTCCTGCCCTCAACCCCACCACATAGGGAGTGCCCTCTTCAGTCCGGTTCTCTCGCTGGCCTTCAACAGATGGCATCATGCACCCCATGTCGGGTGCCCTTTTCAGTCCAGCACCTAGACCTTCCTACGACCAAAAAAGCACCCCTAAGCTATTCAGGACCTTCCGCCTCGCCCGCTGCAGTCTCTTCTCTCTCCTGCCCTAACCTGCCCCCAACAACCCCCCAATTCAAAAGTGAGCCCCCACCGCATAGGGAGTGCCCTCTTCAGTCCGACAGCAGCGCTAAGTTTAGCCGCGACTACAATCTATTCTCTTTCCATTGCCTCCCGAGCCCTCGTGATGCTGATGATGCACTCTTCGCCGTCAACTACATCACCGGCATCACAACACCCCTCAAACAACTCATTTTTCACTACCAAATGGCCTGCCTCTTTTTTTCGCTCTCCCCCACCAGGCTCTGGGTTCACCTTTCCAGAATTGGCCACCACGCAGCCCCCCCACACCCCCTTTACTCACTTCGTTCGCTGGCTTTCGTGATTATAGTTAGAAATATTATGACATATTATATATATATATATATACACATGCTCTCATGATGGCAAAGTGAGCTTGAGGAACTTGCAATCTGGACCCAGCACTATGCTCCTGTCATCTCGGAGGGTACTCGGGGGGCGGGCCCCAGCCTCAGGGCCGCAAAAGGTGGCGCTTTGTCCGTTTTGTCCTCTGCTATACTGCTATACTACCCAACGCGATCACGCCTTTTCTGTCAGGTCCGCACCTCAAGGGCGTCATAGTGAACCCGCCCTCCATACAGGAGCCGTATTGGCTGCATGCCGTCTCCAAAGGAGGCGATTCGAACAAAATGGTCAGCTCTTCGTTCGAAGATCTCAATGCAGGCCTTGCGCAATTGTGCGCAAAGAGCTATCTCCATGGCACCGCCCCAGCGAGAACCCTCTCTCATGGAGCGGGCATAGGATTGTGGGTCCTCACCGGAATCCCACAAAACCCAGTCAGACACAGGATTTCCAGCCACCTCCTGAGATGGATTCGCAGCAATGAAGTCTGCTAGCTCTGCCCTCAGCGCAGCTGCACCTGAACCCTTTAATCCGTGGTTCAAGGAGTGGAACAAACATGAGCCGTCTCCTGGTTGTGGCAAGACCCGCACTGATGACCACTCAAACTTCACCACCTCCTGAGCCATCTTCACTGAGCCTGTCTTCTGGTAGTTCTCATAGGCATCTTTGTGATCATCTCGGGGCCGTTTAAAGTGAGGACACTCGTCTGTACCATGAGGTCCGTCACATTTGTCACATGGTCCCGTGGATTTCTGAAGTGGTTGTGGTGCTGCTGCAGGAGCCAAGGCCGCCAACAAGGCGAGCTGCGGTTCCTCAATCTGATCCCTTGGAGGCAGTCCAGCAGACTGCTCCAAACTCTTCTCCACAACTTGACGTGCTTTTCTGGCATCCTCCTTTTTGCGTTCCTCCCGAGCCTTTGCTAACCTTTCTTCCTCCTCGCGGAGCTGTGCCTGCCTCTCTTCCTCTTCACGAGCTTTTGCTAGCCTCTCTTCCTCTTCGCGACGCAGTTTTTCAAGCTGCTCCAGTTCCTTTTGACGCTCTAGCCTCTGGCTTTCCAAACGTTCCCGTTCCAAGCGCTCCCGCTCAAGCTCCACGTTTTCGGCATCTGCACCCTTCCCGTCCTCTTCCAGTCGAAAGGTCGCAGTATATTTTGCCATCTTCTGTGCAGAGGCTAATGCCTTCGAGACCTCCTCAGCCCCCAAACGTTGCCCGTTCACTCCAACTACTCTCCAACCCCGATGTACTTGGGATGTGGAGCTGCTGGTGACAACATTCCCCAGCTTTCCGCCCACCCGAAAAGGTGCTTGAGAGAGGCCCCGCAGCTCAACCACCACATCTTTGTCTGCAATTTTTGCCAGTGACGGAGTCAGAACTGTGTTCCGGCCACCTTTGGAGGACCGGTTTTCCAGTGCAATGCTCTGGCCTGCCAAGCTGATCCGGCTGCCCTCGCCTTTGGGCGCCATGGGCAGACGAACCGCGGCACATGTTCCTACACCATTCACCCAATGAATGAATCATACGTTTACTGTCCTGACATCATGCCAAAAGCATTGAGGAGCTGCTATTCCTCACGATCATGCCACCTACAAATGGTGCAATAAGTTATTATCTGCCTATGCAATCCCGCAATCAAATCCTATGCAAGTGTTGTCCGCCTTGAGCCTCGCTGGCTGCCATGCCAGGCATCTGATGCACTCCAACAGGATTTGAACATATTTGAATTTTTTCCCAGCTTGGGCCCCAGGCCAGTTTGGGGGTGGTCCAACTGCGCCACTCGCATAGCTATATTCGGGTGGGGCAAATCCCGGACGTGGTCCGGGTGCACCTGGTGGCGGCCCCGGATAGCCTGGAAACGACGGTGGCCCATGAGGAGGACCTTGTGGTGGTCCCTGAGGCGCTTGTGCATGGCCGTCTGGTGGAGGAGCTGAGGACTTCGAGAAGTGACGGGGATCGTCAGATTGAGGTGGAGCCTGTTGCGCTTGTGGTGGGGGTTGGGCAGGTGGAGCTTGTGGGCACAGACTTGGCGGGGGTGGTCCTGGAGGTGGTGGTCCTGCATAAGGAGGTCGCGCATATGCATGCCCCCAGGCATCGTGAGGAGGAGGATGGTAATAACCTGGTGGAGCTCCTGGTGGATAGCCTGGATAACCTGGATAGCCAGGGGGCGGTGGTCCGGGTGGTGGGTGTCCTGGTGGGTGCGCAGGTGCATGTGGCGGTGGATGTGCTGGCTGCGGTGGATATGCTGGATAGCTTGGAGGTGGTCGATCAGTGGGAGGAGTCTGCCATGGAGGTGGCTGCACAAATCCAGGTGGTGGTGCCAAGTCGCTGGGCGGCGTCCATGGCCCCGTTTGAGCTGGTGCGGCTGCTGCCGCCGCCGCTGCTGCTGCTGCTTGTGCTGGTGCTGCCTGGGTCTGGGATTCGTCGCCTTCTGGCTTCCAGCCATGGCCTGGAGATAGTGCAGCCGACTCTTCGTTCTCAGGTTTTTCGCTGGGTGCTCGACTGGTCTTCTTCTCCTTGCTGCCCTTTTTGTCTTTTTTCTTCTTATCTTTTTTCTTTCGAGAACGTGAGCGTGATCCGGATTTAGAGGCAGACTTGGATTGTCTCACCTTTCTGCGCGCAAGTTCTTCAGAATAGGCAGACTCCAAGATCTTCAGGTGGGCTATACACCTGCTGAAATGAGACACATCCTTGTTGCCCGGTTCCTTGAACTCAGCAAGTTCTCGGACAAACTTCTCGTTTTCAGCTGTCCTTGGTCATTGGTTGAGTTTGTGCTGGGGCCAAGGGCCAGGTGGTTCGAAGGGAAAATCTTGTGTTATCAGCTAACATCCGCACGCACACACTATCCGCAGTGTTAAGTGGACCAAAAAAGTGTGAATAAGCGAATTACCGCACCTGAGAGAACACACGTGGAATTCCACATGGCGGCACACATTTCAAGAGGAAAACATACACATGAAGGCAAAGGTACGAGTGAGCACTCATGTGACAGCACATGCATGAAAGCACACATGGACATAAAACAGCACACATGCGACCACTCACGTGAAAGCGACAAATGAGGGCACACATAGAAAAGCACACGTGTCAGGAGCACGCAACAGCACACATTGAGGCACACATGTGAGAGCACATGCCTCGAGGATCACAAAACTCGCAAGACTCACAAGACGCTGCGTCTCGACATCAACACTCCGACACAGCGCTGCGCCTGCCATGAAATCTGCACTCCGCAGTCCACAACGCGCTGTATATGCGACGAAAATTGATGAAATCTGCGTGTCAAGGTGCCACAAGCCTGACACGAAATGTGGGCCTGCCACGAAATCAGCACTTCGAGGTTAACAAGTCGCTGCACCTACCACGAAAATCTGCACAGATTTCGGGGCTTTAAACGCCCCGGGCCTGCCACGAAAACTCACAAGCACTGCGCTTGCCACGACATCTGCACATCAAAATTCACATCGCGCAGCCCTGCAGGTGCGTTTCGCAACGGAAGCACTTTCAAAAACAAGATCAGAAAAGCAAGAAAAGACATATTCGAGCGATACTTCTTGCAACTTCTTAAAGCGAACCACGCAAAAGTTCACAATTCACTTCACCTGCCACGAAGTCAGGGCACGTCAAACTCCGATCTCCTGGACGTGACCTGCCGCAAAAAAGTTGGCTTCAGACCACCAAAGCGCCAGGATTCCCTTGCGCCTGCCATGGGAAGGGGCCACCAAGTCCGAAAATGCACACAGCGCCACAATGAGAGCGCCGTCGGAAAGCACCCTCTTGGGTCGGTACGTAAGTTTGTGCGAGCCTGCGCAGTTGAAATGCAGTTCGACGATCTCAAGCGGCACGGACGTGTGACGTGCTGTAAGCGGCAGAATTAGCTGCCCTCGGATGTGAGAACCCTCGATCAAACCCAGCCTGTCCACAGCTTGGGGAACAAGCACACAACGTATATAAGATTGTACAACATGGCCCATGGCCTTTCTATAACCCTTTCATTAACTCTTGAAGTTCAGTCTTGCAGCAAGCCTCTTAGTCATGACCACTACCCCGCCCTCACTGCCAGGAAGTTCACCATCAAAGGCTAATCGGAATTCCAAGGGCTCACCCAGCTTGTCGCCAAGCTTTCGTATTCGTCCTGGCATGAGGCTAAGCCGTTCCAACGTGGAGACGCGGACGTAACCTTGTTTCTTGGACTCGTTCTGGCCTCCTGGATGGGCGTTTTATTGTCAATGTGGTGTGATGTTGTGTGTCAATGTAGTAGTGCATTGGTACTCATTTCCACTAGTAAGTCATATCATGTCCAACTAACTAAGACATACTGACATGGAAATTACGTTGACAATGCCAAGGGTTCAAATCCTGTATCTCTATTTTGATGTCTTCTTAATATACCCTAATTCGCTTCCGGGTTTTCTGTCATTGTGTGTCCTCGGGCAGCAAGGACGGTGTCAACCCGTTCAGCTACTACTGCATCCAAGCGTTGCAGCTGCTGGTTGAGCGCCTTGACTCCAGCGCCCCCAGCCATGGATTCATCCACCGCCTGGGTGCCGATTAGAAAAAACATGGTTGGGTGGCGTTGTCGGTGAGTTTAGGACGACAAATCGTAGAGGCACACAATAGCGTCAAGCAGCAAAGTCGGCTTCGTTCACATGCAGCCGCTTGCATTCCTTTTGCACCTTTGTGCGCAGGTCCTGTGGCCGAGCATGAGCCTGTACGGATCTCCACGGTACACCTGCTGCATGTTGGTCATTCATTATCATAAATAACTTGGAACAAAGCGAGCTTAGAATGACAATGTGCAATGCAGAAAAAGAACGTGTCGCACCTCGCACTTCGCAGAAACAATGAAACGGTAGTCTTATAGTTTATAGTTTTGGCATTCTTTAGCTGTAGCTTCAACCCTTCTTATGGTGGAAAAATATGGAAACATATATTCAGCCTTTGGAAATGCTCAGCAATGTTCATGAACCATGGCGTGCGCGCCTTCCACTGTTCCACCCGACATGGATGTTCGTAATCCCACACAGACATGACGGCACTCCTGGACCTCAAGGCCTTGCCGTGCTCGCAGCTTGGTCAATCGCTCGAGCTGCGCTTTGAGGCCACTTCTCTGCTGGGAGATTGGCTCCTTCTCCTAACAAGGAGTGCAACAATGCTTAATGATGTATGCATATTTAATCAATAGTAATTTTTAAAAATCAAAGATTCTACACTATACGTATACTATATAGTATGTATATATAGTGTTATGATGTATTATGATGTGTTTTACCTCTTTAGCTGAGCAGTTTTTTTTGGCCGTGGGCTGCCCTCGTACTACTTACTGTGATTCAACAAGGGCTAGTTACTAGCTTCCTTGAAGAAGCGCTCGCACTATCCATGTGGTTACTAGCCTTCGGTGTACCAGGCCATGACATGCCATTTGACGGCATTTGCACCAAGCCTTTCGACTTGTAGAACGCGGACATATTCTGGCTTCAGGCGATTCAAGACGAGGCCCGTCCAACATCATACTAACAGCCCAACCACTGCCAGACTGACATTATTATATAATTGTCAGACTGCTCTCGCAGCACTCCTGTTTGACAGGAGGAGCCTCGCCCACCTCCTTGGCCAGCTTTCCAGTCTCATCAAGGGCCTTGCAAAGGTTGCATCGCAAAGATGTCCTTTAAACATAGCGTTTTGATCGAGATCTGTCTTTTTTCATAATTGATCTCTAGTGGGCTCCCTACTCTTGTCAAGTGGTAAGGCAAAGAAATGCGAACAATGCCCAAGACCACCGTCTTGCTGATTCTTAGCACGTCTGGCCTTGTCCAGCTTGTCCCGGCACTTTTGGAGCCAGTTGCGCTCACTTTCGAGGATGGGGCCTTTCAAGGAGGCCCTTGGTTGTCCTTAGATTCTCCTTCACTAGTACCATCAAATTGCTAGAAGCATCAGCGCTGGTAACACTTCTGGCAAGAACACCCACATCTTTCTAGTCACTTGTGGCTGCTGCCACTCTCATGTCTTAAGTCTTTCAAAGGCCATTCTTTCCAGTCATTCTGCACCGGCCTAGCTTTGTGCGCACGGTGTTGGCACGGTTCTGGGCGTCCTCCGCAGAGAGCTCTGGGCTACACCAAATCTTCGAGAGCTCCGTCAGCATCGAGGCCACGTCCTTGGAGACTG